ATGGTTCCATTATCTGTCTGTATCATTCAGTCCTTTCTCTCACTTTCACATGCGCACACACACACGGGCCATCTGTCAACGCAGGGCCATCGACAGTATTGGTCATCGGACAATATATCTGAAGTGCTTTTCCGTCAACTTACTTAAATTTTGCGTTCAGTTGTAAAAATCTTACACTGAAAATATCAGATTATGAGGATATTAACGTAAATTGGGGACATAGGCTACACTGTGTGATGTCACCTCCCATTGAGTCACACAGTATACTCAATAGTATGGTTATGTAGGCCTGATCATGATTATTATGATGCAGTGTGTGTAAGAGTGTGTGCTGCATGAAGATGAGTTAAAGTTACTTATTATTATTATTATTATTATTATTATTATTATGTTAGTGTTATAACTTGTTGCTCAAAAGAGTGAGATACACACACATACACACATAGCATACAGACACGCTGATACAAGACTGAGGTAAAAGTGTGAAAAATGTAAAACTGTGTGTCTTTAATGTTAAGGCTCTGGCCATGTTGTGTTTTGTTATTTCCACACTTTTTTAAATCAATAAATAGCACTATATTTGATGTTTTTTTTTTTTTTTAAGTGGTACCACAGAGAGTTAAGTGTAGCTGGTATTTAATGCAACATTTCTGCCAACAAAGCAGATTAAATTCAACAGAGAGACAGAGTGAAAGACCTGGAGCAGGAGACCAAAGATGAAAAATGCATTTTGCAGGGGGAGCCAGACTCTGCACAGGATAGGCTAATAAAAAAAATATGACACTGAATGTCACCCTTGAAGAAATATTTATTGTTTTTTAGTGTGCTTGTTTCAAATCATTTGATTTTTTTTATAATAGTTATATTATAAGACAAAAAGTGCACAGTTTCTGTAGGCAGAATTTATACTTCTGCGCTGAATGGACGCTGTAGCTACAGCGTAGGTTCTGGGCTAATTCATACAATGTAATATGCCATAGGCATGTGCTAATAACGTTAGCATGTTGTATTAATTTGGAAAACGTGTTTAGTATAAGACAGTTGTTTTGTCGGTGAACCTTGTGAGTTGTAATGGAACCAAATTATGTATCGTTACCTTTCTTAAATGTTGCTGTTGTCCCTGGTTTTATATGAGAAGAGGAAAAATCCGCTAGCTGCTAGGCTAATATATACAATGTAAAATGCCATAGGCTTGTGCTAAAAACGTTAGCATGTTGTATTTGTGGGGAAAATGCATCCAGATAAAGACAAGTGTTTTGCTTGTGAATGCTGTAAGTTATAGTGAAGTTGATTTGTGTACTTGTGTTTGAAATTGTTGCTCTTAAGCCATGTTTAATGTGTGTTTAATGTGTGTTTTGAATCAACTAAACTTTAGAGCACTTCACAGAAACCTCTGCCGCAAACTAGTGTTTTGGAGGTGTAACTGCAGAGTGACACAGACACACCAGCACAAGTATAAATGCTCACAACGGCATAGGCCATAAATCCTGCTATAGACTATACTACTACATCCAAAAGTGCTTTGACAACATATTTATCCCGCCATGTGGGGTAAGGATGATGATGCATAAACATAAACATTGCTGGGAGAAATAAATTGGTGCAGTAGCCAATTTATTTGTTACAGCACATAAATGAAAATGGGCAAAACGCCCCGAGCTACTAAGGAGCTATCAAACTAAATAAAACAAACTAAAATCCCAACTACAAGACACTGACTTAAACATCACATACTCACATTTCGTGCTCCTAAATCCATACTATCATTGCTGTTTGTTTGTTTTTTGCAATCAAACATATTTTGTTATTAATAGTTTGTTATCACTTTTTCTTATCATTATGTACTTTTGAGTTTTTAATAACTGTGAAAATTGTATTTGGTTGAGGCTTTAAATAAGCCCTCTGAGTTGTTTGACTCTCCCTGCACTGTATTGCATTATTATTTTTGCTTGCTTATTTGTGTTTTAATTTTGCAAAAAAATAAAACTATAAAATGATTCTGGGGGAATAAATCATCAACTCAGATGAAATGTCCCAATCAAGTATAGCACAGTCATGTAATACAGGTGTTGGGAGTAGGGTTAGTGGCATTAAATTTCCCCTTGAGAACTAATAAAGTATATAAAATTAAAAAAATTAAATTAAAAATTAAAAAAGAGGTATTGAGGCGGAGGGGCATGCCACCCTGTCCTACTCAGTTAAACTTTACCTTCTGCGGAGGAGAGCCCACAGCCATCTCCACGTAGTATCCCTGACCGGACTTCCCACGCAGGTTATCAATCATGTCCACGAAGCTGATGCCGCCCGCTGCCGCTCCTCTCCGCCTGCGCGCACCGTGCTTCCCAGCGTTGCCGCGCTCGCGGTGCGCGGAGGCAACGGGCAGCGGCGCTGGCTGCTCAGCGCGAGCGCCTTGCCGCAGTGGCACGCGGATAGCTAGAGGCAGGCCCGAGGCGTCCGGCGCGGATTGACCGCTGCTGAGCAGACACAACGTTGTCCATAGAAACAGACCTGTCAACCACCAGCGAGGCGTTAACGTCGACGCCTCCATGTTGAAACTCGGTAAAGTTGTATTTTAAGGTGCGCTTGGTTTGGACTTTACGACGCTCCGTTCAGTTTGACATCCAGTTTGCAGCGGCACAGGAGAAGAGATCAGTTGGTGATGATGCTAAAATGACGGCTAAAACCATGATGGCAGTCGCACCACAAGGGTCACTGTGTTTTCTCCCCGGTTTTCTTGACGTTAAATGAAGAGAAAGGAAACCGATATTAGATGAATCACAACGTAGGCTAAATGTAAATACAAAACAGCCTACGTTGGAAATAAAAAATCACCCTCACAATCAAACCTGGCAACCCTCGGTGTCACAGATTATTTGAGCCGACGGGTAAATTACAAGCTCTCCCTCCGTGTTCAGCGTATCAACAAACCGCAGGCTCGCGTCGTTTTCTCTGCACATCCTCACGTCAGACGACCGAGACCATCGTCGGTAGGCAGGCTGACCGGCGAGCTACCGTAATCCGCATCCTTCCCCTTCCCCGACCCGTTCATTCAGTTCTCCGCCTTCCAGTCTTTCACCTCCTCCTCCTCCTCCTCCATCCACCCCGCTGCATCCTTCAGAGCTGCGAGAGCGCGAGCATCACCAGCACCGTCAAGTTAGAAATGTAAAACCACGCGACTTCCTGTGAACGTTTTCTAAATAAAACAGTAATAAACCAATCTGTAAAATGAAGGTTTGCCATCCTTTATCCTCCTGAGACGCTGTGTCCTCACACAAGGACATTACAGTTTGGGTTTACTGGACCTTATTCTTATTATTCCTCATTCTGCTTAACTTAGACCTGCTGTCCTTGTCTGTGGACACTTGTGCCATCTAGTGGCAGTAAAACCGCAATAACGTAACAATTAAAAAAAAAAACCCAACATAAACCTGATCAAATTAAATGTAGAAACTATTTATGATTGATAACATTTGTAGTTTGATTCGCCATAGAAATGTTACCAATAGTAGCGACAGAAATGCGCCAAGACACTGTTAATTAGAAAGTAAACTACTGGTTTGAAGACATAGGCTAAGGAATTTATCATCTGCTCATTTGAGGACATTGGGAGTTTATTGTTGTTGACAATGTTTAGTATTTTATACTATACCCAAATAGCTCGGAGAAATTAAAATGCGAACCAAATAAAAGTTTGGGTCTCAGGAGGATTGATTTGACCTCTATTTGCACAATAAAATAATAATAGTAAAAGGTGTCCCTCAGTGGAAACCAAGCTTTTATTTACTTAATTGCACAGATAAGACACAATAAATTGTGAAGAAAATAAAGCCTCCACAAAATAGCATTTTAAGTCTTGTGTGTGATTTATCCTGACTTCATATGAGCAGAGGAAATCTCCGCTTGTCGCTAGGCTAATTTATACAATGTAATAAGCCATAGGCTTGTGCTAATAACATTAGCATGTTGTATTTGTTTGGAAAATGTGTTTAGTATAAGACAGTTGTTTTGTCAGTGAACCTCGTGAGTTGTAATGGAGCCAAATTATGTAACGTTACTTTTGTGAAATGTTGCTGTTGTCCCTGGTTTTATATGAGAAGAGTCTGCTAGCTGCTCGGCTAATTTATACAATGTAAAATGCCATAGGCTTGTGCTAAAAACATTAGCATGTTGTATTTGTGGGAAAAATGTGTCCAGATAAAGACAAGTGTTTGTCTGTGAATGCTGCGAGTTATAGTGAAACTGATTTGTGTACTTGTGTTTGAAATTGTCGCTATTAAGCCATGTTTAATGTGTGTTTAATGTGTGTTTTGAATCAACGAAACCTTACAGCACTTCACTGAAACCCTGCTGCCACCTAGTGTTTTGGAGGTGTAACTGCAGAGTGACACAGACACACCACCACACGTATAAATGCGCACAACAGCGTAGACGACTTATTTATAATTTGTGTTTTTTTCTCGTGTGTTTTCCGCATGTATGGGATTGTTAAGGTCTTATCTCACAGACCAATTATTCCCCTTTGCTGTAGGGTTATTCTATGCAACCACTCCAGTGGTGAAATTTGTAATTAAAATATTCACTTTACTGTAATGAACTGAACGTCCCATGTGTAGAACTGTTTATTTATTTTTCAATTCATCATTAATTGTTTAATGAAATTTTGGCAACTTATACACACCATACATTATATATTGTTAGATTTTTTTTTTTTTTTTTAAATGTAGCCTACTTTAATTTGAAGGCAGAATCACTCTCACGTCATGGCTCTCGCTGCTTCTTCCATAAATAACATTGTGGCACTCGGTATTCTGGGTAATGAAGTTTTCACGGATCACAGCCGTTTCTGTTCCCATTAGAGAGACGGTATGCATTTTAGGCACTGTTACCTGCTCTCACCCAGAACAGCTACAGCAAAGGCCATATTGTTTGCATCTGATTCATTATTATAGTCTAAATTTAGGGGGGAAAAAACAGAGACAAAGATTTCAAAGTGTCATTTTATTATTTCAGGCAACAGACAGGTGTAGTTGCACAAATATTAAGATGAGACATTGCCATGTGAGACTTAAAGGGTTTTGTGTTCTCAGCTGTGAGTTTGTAGGGTCATCACAGCCCATAGTACTACATTGTATTTTCCTGTATGCTGTTGTATTATCTAGCATATAGCGTCATTATAGTGCATCCATCATATTGCCATGAATATTATGGTTTTGATGGATAGTGTCCCAATAAATTAAATTCTGTAAGGGTGACCACAAGCTATATGCATTTATCATTAATAAATAAAACATAAATCAAACTTGTATGACATCAAATGAGGAAGCAAGCAGTAAGTCAAAAAAATTCAATTCAAAGCTTCTTCAGTTTGCTTCTCTTTCCTTATGTCAGGCTGCCTCTCTCTTGAGATAATCCTGGACAGTCCCAGTAGGAAGGAATAGGGAGGAAGGAAGCAGGTGCTAACATGCTGTCGCCATCTTTCTTCTCCGTGGTGAGTCCCTCAGAGTCTTTACAGTGGTGGAACAGTCCACACTGCTGCTCCACCAACAACGAGGCTGGGTCCTCCTGTCCTGAGGATGCAGGAGAATACAACTGGACAGGTATTGATCAGCACTTAGAAAAAAGTTGTTAAACCTGTTGTTTGAGAATCTTATCTTCGACCCTGCCTCTTGTAGTAAGCATCGGATCCAACCAATGCAGCAAAATATAAGAAGAATTTTAAAGTTAAAGTCAAAGAAAAAAACCTATGGTGAAATTTGCATGTAGTATGTACTGAACATGATTCGCTGCACCCGACATGTACTTTAACATACAAATAAATACGCTGTAAGGAGTTTTAAAGGCCCAGTGTGTAGGATTTAGAGCGATATATTGGCAGGAATGGAATACAATAAAATGAGTATGTTTTCTTTTGTGTAGAATCACCTGAAAAAAAGACTTGTTGCGTTTTTGTTCCCTTAATATGAGTCGTTTATATCTACATTGGGAGCTGGTCCTCATCTACAGAGTCCGCCATGTTTCGACAGTAGCCCAGGGGCCGTATTCCCAAAGCTTTCTACCACTACGAGTCGCTCCTGGTGATGAAATTCTAAGAAAATTCTCAGAATTGTGACGTTTTCTTAGAATTTCCCCTTAAAGTTAAGACAAGGTCCTTGTAAAGATAAAGTTATAACGTTATTATTAAGTTGAAGAACAGTTAGAAGCCGGGAGGGCGACTTTTAAGAGGCTTAAGAGTTTCTTAAGTTGGGGAGAAAATGGTGGAAACACAAAGAGGTCGGAGACATGTTCGTGCAGGGATAATATGTGTGGTTGATCTAACTAGGGGTACACACACATTTCACACCTAATGCAATAATGTTATAACGCCAGAAATAAAATGATCACAATGGTAAGATATTTGGAAAACTGGAAAAATGCAACAGTGCAGCAGTGACGAGTTTTGTCTGCCTCAGCCTTTCATCAGCCGAGTGATCACACTAACAGTGACAATACTGTCACAGTCAGCTGTTCATTTCATTTCCACACCTTGCAGGCTCACAAAAGGCTGTGTCTGTGACAACCAATCACATCTGTTAAAGGAATGGATCATAGTAGCAACAGGGTGGATCACACCTCACTAAGAGCAATTTGGAATTCAGTATCTTGCGCAGTGAACACTGAAGTAATTCGAACTGGGATAAATTTCAGCTGGTTGCAGTCTGCAATCCTCACCCCTAGCTGCCACTAAATCCCCCTAAATCGTACACATTGCACCTTTACAGAACCCCTCTCACCCGACCAACAACCTTTTTAATTTCCTAACCTCTCACAGGAGACACATTAAGACCAGAACATCCATGTTCCAAAACAGCACATGACCTGAAGCTGTCCACCTCCTTGTGCAATAGAGCAGATGTTTTTAATGCACTTGTACATATCTTATCTTTTTCTTTCATGATTATTTTATGGGTATGGGTGGTACCTGTCTGCATTGTGTGTGTGTTTTGCCTTTCTTTGTCTTTGTAAGTGAGCTCATATTCGTGTTGATGTGGCAATACGGAACTGAATCTTGAATTTACTCACTTGTCAAGGTCTTTGAGGCCCAGCATCTCTGTTCTCCAGGTTTGGTGGTGAGAGGCTCAGCTCTGCCCTCTGGTGGACACCACACCGTCAGGGGTCCAGAATAACCCACCCTACACACATTCATGCACACAGAATCTGCCTACAGTCACACAAGCATGGAAGGCAGAGGTATGCATACCCGCACACACACACGTGTATATGTAGAACCACCATAATCATGTCCCTCACAGTTTAACCCTACTTGGCCAACAACCTGCCATGTGTGATTCCGTTTGAAAACAAAGGTCAAAGACTAACTATCATGGAGACTGCTGCCTTATCACTATGTACCAACTGATAACGGTGATGATACACTATGATCTAGTCAACTGGCCTTTTCAGGGCAAGTGTTACACATGTGTTTCTTAATCAGGCAAACTGTATTCAGATCTGACTGGTAGACACTCACCGGTCCTGGGGGTCTGTCGTCCTGAAGCCTTTAGCGAATGGATTGCTAGCAATTTTTAGTTGGGTGATCTGAGAGAGAGAGGGTGAAGTTAAAAAAGATTAGAAGGACTTAAATTGCGTCCTAATCCTGTGCTGGTTCTGTCGATGAATGCACAATGAAAAGCCTACTGATCTGGGGCTTCCTACCCGGTGGTTCTGATAGGCAGTGACGGCCATGAAGCGTGTCTCGGGGAAGGAAAAAGAGCAGAAGTTCCTGTATGCATTTAAGTGACTGTTGGGAGCTGGATCCACATACACCACGTGGAAGCGCGGCTGGTAGCGATGCATGGAGTTCAGTATCATCTGGCAAGGAGGAGGGTGGATAAAACGCAGCAAGAAGCAAGTCAAAAAAAAGACACTTCAGTATTTTGTTGTGGCGAAATTGAAATCAATGTACTTTATCTTCTGCTTTCATGAGCAAAAGCCTATAGAGGTTGCATTAAAGACTTTAACTGACATGTCCATTGTCATCCAGCAGGTTGTTGGTGAGCTTGAGAGTGTCGAAAGATACAGTCTGCTTCATCCACTGAGCTCCACAGGCAGGCGAGTCTGGGTGGAAATGCATCCTGCTAGGGGCTACAACATCTGCTCGCCCCGCCACCAACCAGGATGAGCTGTGGAACGCATATCTGATACACACACACACACACCCACACAATGTTTCCAATTTGTAAAATAGGACTGGTAAAGTAAGAACAAGCTTGCACAAAAGCAACTAGCTCAGAGGTGGACAATGGTGGTCTAGAAAATATTTAGAAAATGAGCAAAAAACATTTACTGTACGCTGGGGAGAAGTACCGATCTCTATTAGACATCTCACTCTGTGTGTGTCTGACCTGTATCTTTTATCATCAACAGGAATAAAGTCCATGAGCAGGACATATTCAGCAGCCGGATCCATCCCAGAGATTTGCACCTGGAACGTTGGAAACATCCTCCTGCAGTTTATGGACATGCAAATGAACATTATGTGGTAAGAGATGCCAGAGAAAGACAAAAAGTGTAGAAGTGCGTGATAACACATGTAGGGATGCATTATAATATCGGCACACTGTTGATATCAGCAGATAAAGACTTTAAAATTAATTATCAGCCCAAAATGAACATTTCTGCCGATATGACAATGTGCACATTTTGAAAAGCACTGTATTTTATGTCTGCATCTGCCAATGGGCCAGTGCACAAAACCCAATATTCTGCATCCCTAGTTATGAAGAATCTAAATATGATATTTGTTTTTGTTACCTTCCAGCTTTGGTAACAATCATCTCTGTGCCCAGCTGGTCAAACTGCTGCCAAAGTGCATGCATCTCCAGCTGAACTCTTACCCCACTGACCTGGGGGGCCTTGGCGCTCGACAGTGACCCCCCGTCTGCACAGCAGGGCAGAGATAGTTCACAGCTCCGAGTCAGATGAGGACCTGAGGAGAGGAGAGTGAATGGGAGGACAGGAGAGATGCGTGGTGAACTTTGGTTCACACTGGATCGCAGATTTTTTTCTATAATCATCAGCACATGAATGTGTATTTTCCTCGTTGAGCTCAGATAGTTTTACCGAAAAAACACTCACCCTCCATATTTTGAGCAAAATCCTCAAGATGAATAATATGAATGAATTCCTCTGATATTTCTGTTCATCAAAGTCCGCTCTTTCACTTCTGATCACTACCAGCAACTCCTGTCCTTACGTCGAGACCGGTAAAGAGCCAAACCCACAGCTTTGCTACACAACATAGAACTGTCCCTTTCCAATGCCAGGTGCTGTGGTAGATGCACATCCAAGTGTTAGGAGTGTCTGTTTGTGTCCAGGAACGAGCTGGTTTTATACACCGTGAGACTCTCACTGGGGACCTCATGCCTGCCTCATCCATTACAATACTCATAGTGCCGCTGACATTCAATAATCACAGCTACACACACATACATGCTGCCCCAAGAACTGTGAATGCACAAATGTGCAAAAACACACACACACACACACACACACACACACACACACACACACACACACACAAAACCCTATTGGGGCATCTAGAAACCCCTTCTTGCATTTCCTATTGTTTCTTATAGCCTAAAGCTTTAAGTGGAGCTTGTCTTGACTATCCAGTAGGACATTAATAACATCCTGATCAGCCCAGTGTTACTGGGTGTGGACAGATGAAGACAGCAACAAACTGCCTTTATTATTCATAGCCTATTTTCTCAGAGCAGAGTTTCAACACCACACTAATTAGAGAGTCAGTTATTCCCTAAAACTGACTTAAGTGGACGTTTCTGGTTTGAGTTAATGGTAATTCTGCTGTATTTATAAAGATACAACACATCAGACAGTGTCAGGAATGCACTGATTAAGTCCTAGGCTTCTTTCCATTGCTGTCGTGCTGTTTAAGTTGTCATGTCTCTGAAAGTGTCTCCCAGTGTGTGTCATGTAAGGATTTGTGTCACATGAAGACCTGAGCTAGGTTCATAGAACTCAAAGTAAGACACAAATGATATGATGCATGATCTTGATAAATCAAAGTTGTTCGGAAGGATTTAGTGGTTTGGATGTGATGTGTGTGTATAGCCTCATGTGGCACTATGATGGGACAGTGTTGAAGGGTTCCAGCCTGAGGGAGCCATAACAGAAAAGTGGGCTCCTCCCTGCCAAAGAACAACATGAATTAAGTTTGTCAATAGGCCAATTTGCACCCCCGATCAGCTCATTAATCACAGCTTTCAGGACCACAGGCAGAAACATCTCATATGTTATTGAATGCCTCTCTTAAGCAGAACTGATTGTATTAATATTGTTCGTTTCCCTGGACCTTATGATCAATGATGACCCCTTGTCTGTGTGATATGACCTTTAGAGGCTCACTGAGGTCAAAAACACTCAGAAAAAGCCAAAGGTGTACTGTTAAATTCCTGAGAGAGTCATTTTTTTGTCATTAAATAGCATTGTGAGTTCTAATAGTGTAGATAGAATTAGCTATGTTCTGATGCTGGATTCAGATGTGGCAGATATCTATGTTATAACACAATGTTTATGTTTATTTTAAGGATCCCCATTAGCTGAATGCCTTGGCAATCAGCTAGTCTTCCTGGGGTCCATACCTTACATACAATATATTACACTACATTACATATAAAACATACAATTTTATCAATTTACAGTATAAAATACAAAGCTTATGTTTATATGAAAGTTAAACAGAAAAAAAGAAAATAAAGAAGAAGAAGAAGAAAAAAAAAGGAATTACATTCAGTCATTTTAGTTCAAAATTGGGTACACTGTAGGCTACATACATTAAAGTAGAATGCTAAATAATCAATATATTGAAAATATATATATATTTTTTTAAAAGTCAGAAAAGACAAAGAAAAAATAGCACAACTTGTAGAAACACACAATATTGTAAACACGCACAGAGCATACCTTCTACTTTTCACATTCATCTACAGGCCAGCAGATGCCTCTGCATGTCCTTTTTAAAGGATAATTTATTTTTAATTAGCCGGATTTTGAAAGGTAAACTATTCCAGTATGTTATGGCTCTGTAAATGACAGTTTTTTGCGATGAGTTAGTCCTTAGACTGGGAACCACAATATGACCATTACTGGCAAATCTAGTGTTGTGTTTATGTGTGTTATTGCAATAAATTATTTGCTCAAATAAAAATACTGGATTTTTTAAGTTAATAATGCAGCTAAAAAATGTGGCCATAGTTAAAAAAAATCCTTTGCTCAATGGTGAGCCAAGAGAGGCTAGAATGCAACTTTTCAGTGCTAGTTCTTATTGAGCAGCCCAGAACAAGTCTAGCAGCCCTATTTTGTGTGACTTGTAATTTTGCAAGATTAGTTTTGGATGCAGATGACCATACTATTGAACAATAGTCCAAGTGGCTCAAAATTAATGATTTGGACACTTGACCCAGCAATGGATTGCAGTGTGACTGTCAGACAACATTCTGCTTCAAAACAGGCAGATCAGTAAGGGAAGGTTCAATATAGAGTCAGAGCAATGTAGTATAAACAGTCAGATGTTTATTGAGCTGTATTTCATCAAAGCACAGTTTTCATCAGACAAGCATCAGTACACAGAGGTTCAGGTACTTAATTCACATACAGTTACTACACAAAATGGAAGCAGTTGGCTGTGGCTTGCAAAGAGTGAAGCATGTGTGTGCTGAGTGTGTATGTGTCTGCGTATGTCTTTGCTTGCATGTGCTTGAGCATGAGCGCATGAAGTAAGCTGTTTGCATGAAAGAAAGAGAGAGAGAGCAAGAGTCCCGCCATTTTGTTGCAAAAAGTGCATCAGTTAGGCATCGGCTTCATCTTGGGAGGTGGTCCGACTGCGCATCAGGAAAGAAAGGATGGAGAGGAAGTCGGAATGGATCAAAGACTGACAGGTAGGTAAGGTTAGTTGTAGGCACAGGGTAGAGAGGATTTATTGCTTGTTGAAGGTTTCAGCGACGGCCTCAAAGATAGCTTGGAGCTTAGTCTTGACTTCCTCGGCTAAAGGTGTGATCTTTGCCTTCAGGGTATTGAGGTCATCTGTACTGATGCTCTGTGCCTGGCTGTAGGCCGTTTTCAACTGCTCCTTGTATTCCTCAACATAGGGAGTGACCAACCCCCTCACATTCTCTGCACGCTCAACGAGCTTGGCACGCACAGCTTCCACCATGGGCATCAGGGCAGCCTTGGTCTCCTCCACATTGGTAGCGATCTTGGCACGCAGGGCCTCCATAACAGGCTCCAGCTTGGTCTTCAGGGTCTCCATTTCTGCAGCGTGCCTGGTGGAATACTCATTGAAGATGGGCTCCAGCTGAGCACGGTAGTCCTCGAGGTGTTTAGTAATGACATCCTTAAGATTTTGACGGTGGGGCTCGATCTGTGATTTCAGGGTATCAATATCAGTCATGATAGAGGTGCGCAAATCTGCGGTGGCATCAGACAAGGTGCTGACAACACTGTCGGTCATGGGGGCAACAGCACCCTGTAGAGTCTTGATCTGAGTGTGCATGTCCTCCAAGCGCTGAGACAGTGCGGCCCTGGGAGGGAACAGAGATGGAGGAGCAGAAGCATTTTAGCTAAAGTGAAATAAACCGACAATGAGTGAAAGGTGACTGTAAAAAGGGACAGAGAAGAGTAAGGTGAATGAACAAGTGACAGAGCAAGTATCAGTTACAGAACCTCATACTGACTGAGGAAAATGAAAGGGCCTTACTTGATCTCCTTGTACTCAGTGTCATCAAGTTGGGCCAGTGCTCTGTTGGCACTCTCCTTCACCTGAGTCATGTAGACATCCGCAGCAGCCCTGAGGTGCTCCAGCTGGGATGGTGCATCAGCCTGCAGGGAAGCGGCCTGAGAGCCTGAGGAGAAAAAGAAAGGAACGGTGGGGAGGAGAGAAGAGCAGAAAATACAGTGTTTTAAATATAAAATATATAGAAAAACATCTTCATATCAGGTATTTCCCTTAAGTAAGAAACATTGCATTCAACACTCACCGACAGCCAGCAGAAGGGCGAGAGCAAGAGCCACAAATTTCATGGTGGTGGTCTAAGGTGGAAAAAGAGGCAACATGTCACACTCACAGCATTGTAGAAGGAGTTTCAGTAAAACATGTTTTAAGTGCACAAAGGAATTAACAAAACCCCAATTTAAAAATTGAAACCCATTGATTCAACAAGTCTTGAATCTCCCACGTAAAACAATGTGAAGGCCAGATGAGCGGGTTTAAGGGTAAGAGCGCTTTCACACATGGTTTAAGCGGTACACTCATCCCTGACTTGGTCCAAATGACTTCATACTAAACATACGGCTGCCTATTAAAAGAACCCGTAATCCGGGTAGATTAGGAATGGCTATAAACTCAGAGAGACAGCTCCAACAGATTAGCTCTGGACTTCAGTTTAATCCTCATCCAGGCTTTACAGCAAGACACAGTCATAGAATTACGAAGTCCTCTCTGAGCTCAAAGACAATCGATATCTAGAGGCACTTAAATTTAGGGATCTCTTTGTCTCTTGAATAACTGCTAATATATCACAGCATACTAAACAGCTTTACCCCTGAGTTACAATTAATTAAATGAAATATTTCACACAGAGAAACTTTTGGTACCAGTTAACAACTTCATCAAAGTTTACAGATAGCAGAAATCTCAGTTAGATGAAAAAAAAACTCTCCAGCAGTTATTCTTGTCTGATCATCTCCTCTACAACCTGAGTCCCAGTTAGAGCCACAGCAGCTGTGTGTCTTACCTGGTGGAGTTCGTGATGAGACTGAACAATTTCAGCAAGAGCAGACTTTTTATAGTGCCCGGGTGAGGGATGAGTCCATGTGGGGAGGAGGGGCGGGAGTGGAGGTGTGAGGGTTGTGTGTCTCCGTGGAGGTGGACCTCACCCCCCTGCCATCTCACTCAGCAGGGGGACTGGGTTGAGAGTTCAATGGTCACCTGCTGGGAGGAGATCACTCAGCATGCACGCCGACACAAAGTCAGATTTGCTTTACATTATCAGTATCATAAATGCGCTGTAACTTTTGCTGAAGTACCAAGGGGCTAACAGTCCTTTGACTTCACCATATTCTTTTTGGGACAGTGGAACATTTTACGTTGATTATTCTGGCACAGCTATTAGTTGGGGTCTTTTCAGCTTGATAAAAATGTGTCTCATTGTCTTGTGGCCAAGCTGCTCTTATTATGAAGAAGACATGAAAGGCTTACATAAACAACTTAGTGTAAAGACGGAGCCATAGAGATGATTAATTAGGAAAGAGGGGCAAATATGATGAAAAGGAGAGGAGCCGACAAGACAGAAAATGTTTTTATGATATCAAACAAAAA